TACCACTCTGCTATTGCCTGATTAAAGGCAGTTCAGAAATATCCAAAGCAAACAAGCAAAATGCAGGTGTTCTAAAGATCCCGTTGCACAGAGTTTGGCAAATCTTCCACCCTGAGCCCTGCTTATACATATGGAAAAACTTTTGCAGCGTTTCCACTCCTCATCAAGGAGACTACTGCACTAGAGATTATTGGCAATTCTAGACAGTTCTGCTATTTATTCTGAGGCTATAATTCAATTAACACTAAAAAGAACAGAACATACCAAACTTGGGCTGCTCTAATTGCTAGAAAACTAATTGATTATACCCAAGAAATGATATGTTCTGGACAGATTAATTTATCCCTCAGGCTACATGCCGACATCATTAATGTCATCTCCAATTCTCGGTTGTAAAATGTAATGTAATCTGTGGATCATTGTGTTATATAAAATGGAAATCAGATTATTGCCATTCCAAAACTTTGATCGCTTTACGGGAAAATCTTCATTTTTCCAGTATTCTGTGTTGGCAATGGAACATGAAGAAGAGTTAATGAAATCAACATATTCATTACCCATTCTTTGCAACAACTGAGAAAAGATAATATACTTTGCTATTTTTCTCTTTTCATTTTGCCTCTGAGAAATTATGGAGTCATTTGTTGTGGAGATATATAGACAGGGTTCGGATTGTTGGTGTGTGTGTGTTTTCTTCAGAAAAAATAGAAAAAAGGAAAACGTGTGATTGGAATTTTGTATGAGTGCTTCATGATTTTAATTTAATTTTATCTCATCTGTTTTTGTTGCCCTTGTGGAGAAAACAGCTTTCTTTGGGTGAACATTCTGAAAGTAGTTCATTTGAATGTAGATAGGAAACAATTGCCTAAGGCTGCAATCCAACTCATACATACCTGGGAGTAAGCTCCAGTGAAGTCAATGAGAGTAGACAAATAGAGGTTTGTGCTGTGAAACACAGTACTGGCTACGTTCCAATATAGTGCTACATGTACTTGCACGCAAATAGTACAATGGGTTTAAGCAGGGGTAGCTAAGATGATGCCTTCTTTAAGTTGCTGGACTACAGTTGCCATCAACCTTGAACATTTTACATACTGACTGGGGCTGATGGGAGTTGTAGTCCAACAATATCTGGAAGCCATCATGTTGGAGAGATTTACAGCAATGATTCAGCAAAACCAGCATAAATACCATAGTTCGCATTTTCTCATCCTCCTCCTGACCAAGAAAGTTTCAATTCAACACTCTTCAGGATTAGCAATGACAACAGTGCTCCCACTGTTGCCAAGAACATTAGATGGATCAGAGCAAATGTCTATTTAGACCTATATTCTGCTCCCATAATGATCAACCAAATACCTATGCGGAGCAGATGTTCCCCAGCAACATCCTCTTATACAGTCGTACCTTGGAAATTGAATGGAATCCGTTCCGTAAGTCTGTTTGACTTCTAAAACGTTCGAAAACCAAAGCCAAAACCAATCAGAAGCTGCAGTAGCCCCGTTGGACGTTTGGCTTCCAAAAGAACGTTCGAAAACCGGAACAGTCACTTCCGGGTTTCGATCATTCGGGAGCCAAAACGTTCGAGAACTAGGCTGTTTGACTTCCAAGCTACAACTATACTGGAAGTAATACATGCAATTGCACCTTGAATTATTTGATCCCCTTTTTATAATCATCCAAGCCACTATATCTGTAGCAGGGAAATGTTTTTAGCCTGAAATTCACATTCCTCTGTGGGCACTTATTCCAAAAATGGGCAGGGCTGGATGCAAAAGCATGCAAAACAATGATGTGAATCTTACCTTTGTTCAGCAGTTACATTCCAGTCATGCAAAAAGTCAGATTTCTACAAGAACTAAAACATCTCCCCAATGCGCTTCCAGATAAGCCAGTGGACATCACATTTCATGGGCAGTTGCTTATGGGAAGACCACAAACAGAATATGAGGGCAACAGCATTCCTCTGCTAGTGGTTCCCGGCAACTGGGGGGTATTGTATAACAATAATGGCTAATAGCCACAGAGGGCCATGGCCTTCAATAATTCATCTATAGATTATTAGAGCTTTCACATTATTGCAACAGAACAATACAGTCCTTTCTTTCCACTCCCCTTTCCCAGCTTCCCCCTCTCCCTTTGACAGCAAGTTCACCTCTCATATCCTGTTGTTTAGCATGCTATACAGTGTTCAGGTTTGCAGGCTCAGATAAGAGTTAGGACAAATGAGTGTCGGTGTTCTGCTGGAATCCCAGATTGATATTCATTAAACTGGGGGAGTTTCCATTGCTGCATTGAGCCTCTCACTGCTTCTGCGGCAATTACTTGGTGAAGAGTTGCAAAGGAGCACTCCAAATCTCTTGGAGACTTGAATTATGATGTAGGTTATAGAGTAGAATTTTCTCATGGGCTGCTAGTGGCAAGAGGTCTGCTTTCGAGTTTTCTGTGCTTGGGGTAGTCCAGGCTTTCCAGTGCTGAAGGATTATTCATTTTTCTGCCAGTGTAGCTAAGTGAAACCATACTTCCTGTCCTTTTGGTAACCTCCTATGTACTGATTATTGTGTTGGGAATTTGTCCAGAACAGGGATTTGTCCAGAACCAGGTTCATTAAAGCCTGTACAGTCATACCTCATGTTGTGTCCGCTTCAGAGCCAGTGTGGTGTAGTAGTTAAGAGAGGTAGACTCATAATCTGGTGAACCGGGTTCGCGTCTCCGCTCCTCCACGTGCAGCTGCTGGGTGACCTTGGGCTAGTCACACTTCTTTGAAGTCTCTCAGCCCCACTCACCTCACAGAGTCTTTGTTGTGGAGGAGAAAGGGAAAGGAGAATGTTAGCCACTTTGAGACTCCTTCAGGTAGTGATAAAGCAGGATATCAAATCCAAACTCTTCACTTCTTCTTCTTCTTCTTCTTCTTCTTCTTCTTCTTCTTCTTCTTTTCAAGTTGGGTCCTGCGGTAACCCAGAAGTACCGGAACGGTTACTTCCGGGGGTTTTCGCTCACACATGTGCAGAAGCGCTAAATCACGCCGTGCGTGTGTGCAGACGCAGCGCTTCTGGATGTGAACGCTTCGAGTTGCGGACGTGCCTCCAGGACGGATTACATCCCCAACTCGAGGTTCCACTGTACTTCCTTCCAGAACAGTTGGAATACTGTGGTAGCTAGGCCTGTTTGTGGCTGTTGGCATCTCCAGCAGTCATTTGCGGGTGTGATGCTCCTGTAGTTAAGGCATGTTGCTGTCCAGTAGGCTCAGAGGAGTGTTTTCTGTTGAATTAATCTCAGTCTAGCTTTTAAAGGGTGCCTAGCTTTTAAAGTCATCCAAGATGGTGGTCATCACCACAACTTAGGGTAGCAAATCCATCTGATTAACTATGTGCTGCGTGGAATTGTGATGTCAAACATTATTCCGAAACTATGTCCTCTGCATTACAAAAGATCAGTATGGGTGGACAAGCAGTCTTCCAGGTGCTCTTCTCACTGAGGAACTACCAAGAAGCTATCAAGGAGCACCTCATTTGAAAGACACTATTAATTCGTATTTGACAAGCTTTGATCAATGGCATGCACGGGCATCCAGCATTGTATTTGATGGCTGACAAGTGATGGTATTATTATGCGTGCATGGAGGCACGCGCACACACACACACACACACACACACACACACACCACATCTACCCCCACCTCAAGTTCCCCATGGACTGATAGCTATCTCATTTTAACGCAAAGGTAGGGATTCAATGTTGCACTAATTTAAAGTCACTTAGCAGTGTACTAGTTGCACTGGTGGAAAGGCTTGCACAGGAGAAAGCACAGGAAGCCATTATGGTTCTTGTTGTGGTTGCACAACAGACTATAGTCCCAATACTTCCTGTTGCACAACAAGCTTCCCCTACGGCAGATGTTGCACCGCATTTCATATTACAGTGGTACCTTGGGTTACAGATGCTTCAGGTTACAGACGTTTCAGGTTACAGACTCCGCTAACCCAGAAATAGTACCTCAGGTTAAGAACTTTGCTTTAGGATGAGAACAAAAATCGCACAGCAGCGGCGTGGCGGCAGCGGGAGGCCCCATTAGCTAAAGTGGTACCTCAGGTTAAGAACAGTTTCAGGTTAAGAACGCACCTCTAGAACGAATTAAGTTCTTAACCTGAGGTACCACTGTACATAACCTTTATTTTCATCCTTATGCAAGTGCAACAGCCCTTGCACTGCTGTGAGGGTAGACTGAATCCAGATTCTCAGGTATCTTCTAGCCATGAGCTCCAATCAGCTGGCCATTCTGGGCTATTAACCAGCAGTCTGCCTGACAAAGGAATGGATTGGCTCATAGCCATAACAGGTTTTTGTCTTGAAGCATCTGATAAATGACATGCAATTATACTTTGGCAACTGACCGTTTGTGAGATTTCATTTTTGAAGTCTGATGATCAACCAATACCAACAAGGCTAAGGTCGCAATCCTATACGTAATTTTCTGGCATTGAATTTAATGGTGATCATTGGGTAGGCATGTAGAGTTGGCATACACAGTGAAGAGTTCAAATTAGGAATTTTGAGGAGGGGGGGGTTAATGCATGCCTAACATTTTAATATGAATTTTGCCTCAGCACCCCTCATTCATTCAAAAATCTGAATGTTGAAACTGGTAAATCTGGAAATCTTAAAATGTCAGCTAATGTACATTTCAGCTTTACATGTCATTTCCATTTCCCTATGTTGGCTATATTTACCTGGACTGTCAAGTAAGCTTTTAGCAAACACCAGCGCCCATGTGCACGCATTTTGCGAGGGCAATGAGTTGCACATTACCATATAAATCTGTTGTTCTCAGAAACTCATTAAGTTGCAAATCTCATCATTACTCAACTTCCAATAAGTGGCATATGATTTGTAACATTTTAACCATTCTAATATAGGACGGGAATTATAACAATCAAATCTGTTTGCTCCCCGCTCCTCCCCAGCTGCCCTTTTTTGTCATTGTGATCCTTGTAGAGAAATTATGGAAAGAACAGAAAATGTAATTTTAATTAATAAGAAAACACTGGTTCATAATTTGTAGCTATTCACAGTGTATATTTTGCAGTTTGCAGGTCTCTGCTGCAAACAGGACTTGAAAGCTCCAGCAAGAGGAATCAAGGATCCGTTGATCAACCTCGTGCTGTTCTGCCACACTTGTTACCCATGCAGGAAAGTTGTTCCTCTTGCCAACAGCTTCTGTCCTAGAAAAAAAAATATTAATATTCATTAGAACTGCCATAGCTGTCTAGCAAAATTAATCAGTACATCATAATTAGCTAGGGCTTTGCACATTTTTAGCACACGTCTTAATCATTCTTAGAAAGTGATCTAAAGAATTTAGAAAATGGGAAAGGGGACTAGCTAAGCTCTTTTTATAGCAAGGGGGTTATCTTGTGGAACAAACAGACTGTCCAGATTCCTATATTTAAGAGCCTCTTCCCAAACTTCTTTCACAATCTGCAGCAAACAAGAAGTCACCTAGGATTATGAAAAATGGAAGGGGCTTGATGTGAATTTTAGGGACTGTGAGGCACCAGGCAGTATAATGAGTAACACTGGCGTCTCTCTCTTAGGGCTTAGAATTAGTCCATCTCTACAGCAGGTGGTCTGGGGACAAAGAGATAAATGAGCAAATGAGACACAAACTTTGGGATTAAAAAGGTCTGATATCTAAGTCATACTTAGAGTAGATATGTAGAAGTGATGCATTTAAACAGAAGGTAATTATTCACACAGTGCATAATTACGCTGTGGCTTTTACAAGATCTCGTGATGGCCACCATCTTGGGTGGCTTAAAAAAGAGGAGTAGGCAATCCCATGAAGGATAATGCTACCAGTGGCTCCGAGCCATGATGCCTATGTTGTCTCTTCACTATTGGAGGCCTGTCTGAATACCAGTGGAGAGAGTGATGTTGGACTCACATTCTGCTTTGGGCCTACCTACTAGCCACAGTGAGAACAGGAGGCTGGACCAGATTGTCATTTGGCATGATCCAACACAGCTGTTCTTATAGAATCCGTGGACTTCACTTGGTCTATTAATTTCATTGGGTCTGTTCAGAATATGACTTAACTTTGGACATTGACCCATAATAATAAAGCCTCTCCTCCTGAAAATGAGGGGAGGGGTTGTGGGCGGGAGCCGAGCTCCGCCTCAAGCAGGGGGCGTTAGCCCCCTGCCACCCACTCCCTGGCTGGTGCACCACGCCCACGGGCAAGCGCCCAACCAGGTGCCTTGGAAGGGGCGTGGACTGCAGCTTAACTTGCTGCTGCGCCAACCACGCGGCCCTCACTTTTCGCCGTCCCATCGCGAGTCACCCACCCTCCACTCCCTTAGAGCTCAGGGTTTCAGTTTTTCTCTTGGCCTTGCTATGGACCTTAGGTTGGTCGCCCTGGTTGTCCAGGGGGCCTGGTAGGAATTTTTCCATTTGGCATTAGGCTTTGTGGTTGTTTCGCCTACCTCGTAGCAATCGTCACAACTTTCGTGGTATTGGTGGGTAGGTTAGGCATTGGAATAATGTGTTTGTGGTGTGTGGAAGGGCTAGGTGTGGCCATCGCCTACGCCTTCAATTTTGGGTATTCCGTTAAAGGAATCCGGCGGTCGTGTATTCTGTCCGATGCCTGTGTGGCGGGGGGCCATGGCACGACCCTCGGTGGCATCAGGGGAGAGCTTATAGTTGGATTAGCATCAACAGGCTCCACCTACTGGTGAATAAACCCCCCTTTTAGACTCACCCCTCTCCAAGTGGGTGAAGTCAACTGACGTGATCCAATGCCTAAGCCAATACCATTTCACTTGCTGTAATCAATAAAGTTGTGGCCTTTTCTTGTCCATTAACCTTATATCACGTGTCCATGTGTTTTCATTCCATTACGCGGGGATCGGGTCCTCGAACTACAATTTCCCACTCTTCTAGAAGTACCTGGAAGAGAACACAACATAAATCACAAAACCATATAATGTTGTTTTTGTTGTTTTGTTTTATTACCTGCCCTTCGCCATAAGGTCCCTGGGCAAGTCGCAACAATTTAGAAATACAATACTAAAACTAAATTAAAGCAAACTAATAAACAGAAAGAACAAATAAACCATTTACAACTAAAGCACAACCAGCACTTTGAAACAATGATGTTTCACTGAAATGGCTCAGCAATTTTCACAGGGGGCACACCCAAGTTTCCTTGTTCCTTCAAGGAGAGCACAACGCCAAACTAGTGTTCAGATCACTTGAAGAATAGCTCTGGATTAAATTTCTCTTGGCTTATAGTTAATTCCCCATTCACTCTTAAACTGACTCCAGACACCAGTCTATCACTTCCACAGCCCATCTGGGATCAAGCAAGGGGAATGAGAGGCAGAGCTGTTCATCATCTGCACACTGGTGACATGTAAGACAAACCTCTGGCTGACCTCATCCATCAGTTTCCTGCAGGTATTAAAAAGCGCAGAATTCAAATAAGGGATTGTGATATCTAGAGATACTCCATCTAGTTCTGAAGCAGAGGCCATGTTTATTTATTCACAGGGATATTTATAAACCTCCAACTCATTAAAAACATCAATTTAATAAAAACATTAGAGCATCATAAAACTATTAAATCACAAAATTATGAAATATTTTAAAAAAAACCAAAACCAAACACAGAACAAATGACCAACACTGAATCACATTAATTCTCTAAAAATCCTTGGTGAGATGAATATGTTTTCACCAAGCAATGAAATAACAAGACTGTAGGTACCTTTCTCGTTTCCATAGGAATAGTGTTCCAAATAACTGGTGCTACTACATTAAAAGCCTTGGTTCATGTAGAAACTGAATGAATATCAGGTTACTGTGGGGCAGTCACACCTTCCATATCATCATCATCATCATCATCCAATACCTCATGGTGAATTGAGGGAGGCCTTGTTTGTGACATCACCACCCTGAACCATTTGACTCTGGATGAATGGGTGAGTCAGGCATGCTGCAAAAGGATATCTGTCCCTTTCTTGTGGGCCCATTACCCCTGAGAGGCTGATTTGAGGAAACACCCTTCATTCACCAATATTCTTTACAATTCTTTATTCATCTGCTTTAGGTGCTGCATCTCCCCGATTTGAATAGAGCAGAATAGGATAGAGAGGGAGAGAAACCCTACTCCAAGGTTAATGTGGTTTTGGGGGTGAAATTTCTACTCAGCCCCTGGATTAGGCCTATACTGAAAACAAAGGAAAGTAGGTAGGTGCTGAGTTGCCTGAAAGTGTAGGTAAAAAGGGGGGCCACTAGGGGGCACATTGGAAGATGGCTGACAATAACATCTCTCCGACCCACACGAGGTAATTTGGAGGCTATGATGGGGGTAATTAGCCTCCTTAACCCCCCCAGGATTGTGGGAGGGATGGCCCTTGCCTGCTGTGCCCTATACCACCCCCGAATTTGTGGGGGTGGGGGCACTAGGCACAAAGCCCTCCTGTGGGATTTCGGCACTCCTGAACGCCGTCCCTGATTCGCGCCACTAGATGCAGAACTTCAAAGGAAACAATTTGGATGAAAGGAATGCACATATTTCAAGAAAGAAGGGGGAGTAAAGACTGCTAACAGAAGAGATCTCTGACAAAACAAGATAAGAATAAAACATGAGAAGATACGCCAAGACAAGGTACGGCAAATGACTGATGGGGGAGGGGGGAAAAAACTCTTCCTTCTTTCCCTATGTGATTAAACAAGAATCCCCTCCCCTTATGAGTCAGAAATGTCATTTTAAGGACTTAAGCTGTGGATTTAAGGCTGTGTGGAGATAAACTTTCGAACCAAAGCACGTTTTAAGAAGAGCGTGGAATGTGTAAGAGCTTGGGAATAACGCAGTTAAAAATGCCGTCGCCATATTGGGAAGTTCTGTCGGAGGTCTTGAGTCTGGGAGGAGAAAGAGAGAAATAGAGCTGTTTATATATTGTGGGTTAAACTCCTCAGTGGGACTTAAGAGTGACAGTTTTATGAGACTATGATGGAAAGAGTGGTGTTATCTATGAAGGAGACAATATATGGAAACCATCTCGATTTGAGGATTGGAAGAACGGAAAATTCACACAGGACTATTATTACTATTGGTGTTTATCGGCTTAAGGAAACTATCAGAAGAGATCATAAAGAAAAAAGAGAAAATATATGAACAAGATGTGATGTGGAAACAGCAAGATAAGATGGGATAGAACTATGAACTTTGTTTGGACTGATTTGGACTGATTGGGACATTAACGCAGCAGCAAGAAGATGATCAGAATCCCCCTTCGGATCTTGAAATATGGGTCCCCCCAACAAAATTTAAAATTCGGCTTTGTAATTCGGAATTTATGTGATATGATTTAATTTGATGTGATTGGCCAGTTAATAAAAATTATTTTTTTTAAAAAAGAAACTGTAGGTAAAAGCTTGTATGTTCCCTCTCATGGGTTGCTGTGGCATGAGGATGAGAGGCCAGACCTGACCATGGGTAGATTGAGTTCCTGGAGCGGAGCCTCAGCTGACCATCTCAACAAATGGAGAGGTCCATACTTGAGTAAGGAGTCCCTTGGATATCCTGGTCCCAAACTATACCCAGGAAAGGTATGGAGAACCGGTGGCCCTCCAGATGCTGTTGACTCCCAACTACTATCCATCCATGAACTTGGGCCATGTTGGCCAGAGTTGATAGGAGTTGCGCAGGGGCCATGCTAATCTTCTCTGTATCATTCCAATTTTAGTATATGTGCTGCAGAAGCGAGCACTAGAGTTGATAGGAGTTGGAATCAAACAATATCTACAGGATCAAGTTTCCCCACACTAGTTTAGAGCTTTATAAGTCCATGCTAGAACTGTGAATTGCACCCAGAAACAAACTGGAAGCCATGGGAGATCTTCAAACACGTATGTTCAGGGCAACAAGTCCCGGTTAGCAATATGGCCAGCTGTGGCTTCCAAGTGCTTTTCAAGGTATGAATGGAAGTTGAGCAGCAGCAGTATTATGTGAATTATTCCGCAATGATGTGACTACTGTTTGGTTAACAATAAGCAGGTTGCTCTGATCTGAAATGCCTTTGCGTCCTTTGATGTTTAGTAGGGCAATTTAATGTTAATTTTAGCTAATTTTAGCAGGGCAACAAGAAGCTGCTGGCACATGTCTCCAGCATCTATGGATCTGTTATGACAACTGAATCATTTAGTTAATTTAACAATTTGAATTCCTGCAACTTATTATTGCATTAAAATCATTGTAATTTACTCTCCAATAGGGCTCGACGTGGATCTCTCTCATCTAGCTATTTTTCAGTAATTTTAGTTGACTGTTTGAGGCTGCTTCTGTACAGAGAAAACAAACATTTGTGTGTGTGTTTTTTACAAAAATACACCACACCATCCCATTTAATTGAGCAACTGCAGTGCACTAACACTAGACAAGCTGAGGAGTCAGAAAGGAAAATGTATGCTAACGAATCCTAATCCATAATAATGAGGTGGTGTTTGCTGCCTCATTAGTATTCATTCTCCCAGGATCCCTTGCATTCTATTTACCTCCTCTTTAGGCTTTCCTTAACTTAAAATGCAAGAATGTTCACTTTTGCAAAAATGCACAGTGCACTATTTTCTGCTTTATAAATAACATGCATCCCCTCAGAGTGTGACAACTTCTTATTTGGTCACGTCATTCACGACAGCTGTCACCAAAGGCTAGTCTGTGTTCTTTTCTGGATGCTTTCTTTTGTATTTAGAAATCCTTTTCAGGTAATTGCATACAGTACATTCAATTAATGCAGGGAGGAGAGGGGGGCATTCAAGGGGGGTAGAGAGCTTACGGACTCAAACTGTTGTTTGAAATTGTTTAGCTTGGATGTGTTCCTGCCCAAATTTCCCCTCCGCTTTCAGTCCCCATGAACGTGAGGTGCAGATCTCTTTTGTCCAGGGTAGAAAAGCAGGGTGTCAAGTGAAGCATAAGACTATGAATGGTTATTAGTAATGAGGACTACATTATTGCCAATGTCAGAGGTGATGTGAATACCAGCTGTTGGGGATTATGAGTGAGAGATAGCTATTACAGAGCTTCCAGTTTTCCCTATTTTCCAGGGACAGTCCTGGATTTACAGAAGCCGTCCCGTTTCTGATTTGATCCCAGAATGTCCCACTTTTCCTTAGTACATCCGTATTTTTGTCGTAGAAATGTTGGAGGGTATGGAGTTATGCAACCCCTGAGCCAAGGAGATAAGTAACTATACAACCTTTAGAAGATGTCTTAAGGCAGCTCTGTATAGGGTAGTTTTTAATGTTTTATTATGTTTTTATATATGTTGGAAGCTGTCCAGAGTGGCTGGGGCAACCCAGTTAGATGGGCGGGTTATAAATAATAGAATGATTACTGATATTTTTAATGGAAAAGGATGTCCCTATTTTCATCAGAGAAATGTTGGAGGGTATGCTATTATGTTCCTACCGTGCTTCGCAAATGCATCTGGTTACACACAGTAAAAATAGGATGTCAAACTAGATAGGCCTTTCGTCCGATCCAGCAGGGGTTTCTTATATAAGGATCCCTCTGATACCTTACATCTCCAACACAGATTTGATTTTATTTTATAAATTTTAGCCAGTTTTACAGGGGTTAAGTACCACCTGTAAAACATCTTCATAGTGTTTTCTTTGATAGTAATGCATGCGGTGAAATTAGTGTCTGATTTCCAAAGTTTTTCCCAATGATCTAATGAAATCGCATATCCAAAATCCTCTCCCCACTTGATCATTACTTCTTTAATTTGTTCATCTTTGAGTTCCCATTCAAGTAATAAATTATACATTTTTGATAGATTGGGGGGGGGGATTGTTCAAAAGTTCCATCTGCATGTTTTTATTTTATTTTTTGTCCTTCTTCCTTGCCTCGCCATCACCCTGGATGCTTCGAGTACTTGGGTCATGTAAAATATAGTAATTTCTGATGTGGCTATTGAGGCAAAGTGATTCCCCCCCCCGGGGGGGGGGAGGCACCAATACAGCTCCTTGCTGAGGGCATAAGGGACCCTAGGTACACCTCTGATTGCAGATGAGTCATATAATATATACATTTTAATTCATACTTTGCCCCAGTATCTGCATTTTGTACACATTACCGGGCTTGCAAAATTTGGACAATTGCATGTTTCAAAAGATGGCCATGCTTCAGTTTGCATTCCCAGCCACTCAGAAATTGTGAATTAGGTTGACTTGCCTTTAGATGTGAATTATATTGAATTTCTTCCCCATCCCCAAGAGTGGAGGGGATATTTGCTGTCCCCACATCACCAGAAGCTAACAGCCATCAGCTATTAAAGACCAGGTCATGGAAGCAATTTCTTTAGCTAGTTATTATGCCATTTTCGGAGACGGCTCTCTCTTCTTTTTGAGATGACAAAACAGAATTCCTGTTGCCATTCTATTCCAACTGGCTGGAATGTATGGGTTTTAAAACACAGACCCAACTCTTTCAGATGCCATTGAAAACTGCAGGTGTTTTATTTGACGGGTTCAGCAAATGGATGAGCATTATACTTTTCTGCATAAGAAAACAACATCAAATATAGAAACAAATCCATTCATACTCCTACCAGTTCAGAGCAAAAGCTTGGGAATAGTAGAACTGTAGCAGATTTATTTTCCTGTCACTGCTTTGACCCCAGTATTTGAATGCTCTGGAGTTTAGCTGTAATACTCTAAAAAAAAATTCCTAAGACAATATGTCTACCGGCAAAGGGAAATAGATACACTTGTTAGGTGAACAAGGGGGTCATTGTAGGAGATCAGAGAAGATACATTGGGCTCATGTGTACCTTGCATGCCATCAATGGAGGGTCTGGTCCAGGCTTGCTTTTTTCCTGGATGGAAAGAATATCCTGCTGGTATGTGGGTGTTAGTTGTTCTAGTGGGGAACCACCTTCCCATCATCCGTTGACAGGGAAATGGTGGACCTGTAAAAGGGTAAAAAATTATTGGGAAATAATCCATAATGAATTGAAAAATAAATAAATTTAAAAGTACTTTTCCAAAACAAAAACCAGAGTCATTTTTGTTGGGGATAATTCAAAGGGAAATTCCCAGGTGTCAAAAAAGATTATTTATGTATGCCACTACTGCGGCCTGTGTCTTGTTAGCCCAAAAATGGAAAATGAGTGAGGTCCCAACTAAAGAAGAATGGCAACTTAAACTGATGGAATATGCGCAGCTTGCGGACCTAACACAGAATAAGAGAACAAGAAGAACATAGGTTTAGAGAAGACTAGAAAATGTTTATTGAATATATGGGGGGAATTGTGTTCACTTGAAAATGTTGGCAGCATTAAGATAAATTTGACAGTGTAAATAAGTTTTCATGGATGTAATAATGGAAAACTGAATGGTTTAGTTTATGTAAAATATGCAGGGGTGTATGGTATGCAAAATGAGCCATGGAAAGAGAAGAAGGGAAGTCATTGATAATTGAATGGTGTTTAAATGAGTATTCTAAATCAGTGGCGTAGCGTGGGGGGTGCAGGGGGGGCCGGCCGCACCGGGCGCAACTTCTGGGGTTTAGGGTTAGGGGGCGCAAATCCACGGGTTAGGGGGCGCAAATTACTTGCCTTGCCCCGGGTGCTGACAACCCATGCTACGCCACTGTTCTAAATTGTAAAACAGAAAATTTAATAAAAATTAGAGGGGGGAATGTATACATGCTAGGGTCAAGCTCCTTGGGGGAAGAGCTCCACGTGGGCGCATGATGCTACCTTATGCTGCATCAGACCATGGGGAAGGGCCATAGCTTGGGGGTAGAGCATCTGCTTTTCATGCAGGAGGTCCCAGGTTCAATCCTCAACATCTCCAGGTAGGGAGGGTACTCTCCCCTGACACAAACCCTGGAGATCCGGTGCCAGTCGGTGTGGCCAGTAGTGAAATAGAATAATCAAGGATCTGACTCAGTCTAATACATCTTCCCATGTTTCTATGCCCATGTAGTTCGGTAGGGGGTTCCAAAATGTAGTCCAGGAACCACCAGTGGTCCACAAGCTTCATTCAGGTGGTCCACAGCAGGTCTGTAAAAATGCACTTCTAAATCCTACAGTATCTGGCAGAGCACATTGTAATTGCTACAACAGGCAGAAGAAGAAAAATATTAAGTGGTCTGCCAAGATCCTCATCAATTTTCAAGTGGTCCGTGCTGAAAAACATTTGGGAACCACTGGGGTATGCTAATTGACAACAGCTCTCCAGGGTTTCAGAAAGGAATTTCTCCCAGCTGTACCTAGAGATGCCAAGGATTTGGGGCCTTTTATGGAAAGCATGTGCTGCTCTACCACTGAGTGTGTGTGTGTGTGTGTGTGTGAGAGAGAGAGAGAGAGAGAGAGAGAGAGAGAGAGAGAGCGCACTTCAAGTTAGTGTCTCAGCTTCCATGCTTCTTCAGCTGTCTTAGATTTCAAGAACCCTGGACCAACCCTTTCTCTCTCTCTTCCTATTCTAGAGCTACCTGAACCAGTTTAACCAGGGCCAGGAGGAGTCCAGCAAACAAAAGGACAGGTGATAGGTAGACTCTTTTCTTACATGCAGACTGGAGGAAAACTGGAAGAAAATGGATGTTTTACCAACTAAATAGGCACAGAAGGAGGTTTGGCAAAACAAAATCGCGGCACCTCAAGAATGGCTTTTCTTTCCACTTTGAAAGTTAATGAATGAAGAGATGAAAATAACCATGGAATTTAAAACTGATGGACCAAAGTCCTTGTCAGTAGATGTCATCCTTGCCATTCTTCTAAGGAATATAACCTACAAGCAAGATGTGTTACATAAGCCTGTTCACAGATTCTAGCTTCTGGCGTTAAACAGTTTAAATCTACTAGAAGACTAACCATCAATTTTCTTAAAAGCTGTTGCCTTGAATCCAATTCATGCATTCATCTCTAGTAATGATGCAAGCTTTGTGAGAGGGGTATACCAACTTATTCAGGTGAGGGGAGGTGTTAATCTAAAAACATCACCAGATGAAAGCCAGTTTAGGGAGAATGCTAGATTTCCATTCTATGGTGATGTTCCATCGTTTTTCTGAGACTGGAATCCATACGTGCCACTAATGACTGCATAAAGAATGATAACACACACAACCCCCACCCCCACCCCGTTCAAACTGTGCCCATCATAAGGAGGCACAAGGAGAGGGGGAGATTTTAGGGAAGAAAACAAAACAAATGTGACAATTTCTTTTGCAAACTACTTCATGCTGGCAGAATCTGATTGAGAACTCACCCCCCCCCCAATCATCCAATTATTTCAGCTTCAGGCGATTAATGCAGGCTATTTCCAAATCCCACTGTAAAACAATGCGTCCAAGTCTTACCCCAGTAACGCAGCCCAGAAAGCTACCATGGTCATCAGTATCGAAAGTCACCAAGATATCCAGCAGAACCAACAGGGACACACTCTCCCCATCTAGTTCCCAGTCATCCACCAAGGTGACCAAAGCCATCTCTGTCCCACAACCAGGCTTGAAATGGATCTACATGAGCCGTTTCCTCCAGAAACACCTCAAACTGAGGTGCCCCCAAAAGAGAAACTGGAGACTGGCCAATTATCCAATACAGTGGGAGGGCTTTTTCAATTGAGGTATCATTACTACCTTCCTTGGGACGTGGGTGGCGCTGTGGGTTAAACCACTGATCCTAGGACTTGCAGATCAGAAGGTTGGCGGTTTGAATCCCCGCGACGGGGTGAGCTGCCATTGCTTGGTCCCTGCTCCTGCCAAGCTTGCAATTCGAAAGCACGTCAAAGTGCAAGTAGATAAATAGGTACCGCTCCGGCAGGAAGGTAAATGGCGTTTCCGTGCGCTGCTCTGGTTCACCAGAAGTGGCTTAGTCATGCTAGCTACATGACCCAGAAGCTGTACGCCGGCTCCCTCGTCCAGTAAAGCGAGATGAGCGCCGCAACCCCAGAGTTGGTCACGACTGGACCTAATGGTCAGGGGTCCCTTTACCTTTTACCTACTGCCTTCCTTAAGTGTGCTGGAATCCTACTTTGTGTAAAGAGGCATTGGCATTCACGCACTCAGCCGGTCCCCATGGGCCTGTTTGACGAGGCAGGAAGGGCAAGGATCTGGCACACACATGTCTACATCCTCTAAAGAATACTGTCTACAGAGACTAAAGAATACAATCTACAAAGTAGGCTGCAAGAGTTGTGCTTTGTGAGTACATTCCAGGAGAAACAGGTAAAGGTGCCTTTGACGAGGTGCCTTATGCAGCTTCAACTCAACAAAGCCGAATGTTGGCAGAATGCCAAACTAGAACCTGACAATGCAGGGGGGGGGTGCGATGGTGAGGAAGGACATAATAAGGTTCAGCCATTCAGAAATATTACGCCGCATGTAAATGAAAGAAGAATGGACTCCCAAAGGATCGAGATAGCAAAGCGAAATAGCTTGCCACACTGAAAGCAGCTAACTCACAGCCGTCTGGCTGAGAGCGGGAGATTAAAAAAAAAACCCTAATGAAAGAAAACAAGCTAATTAGATGCAGAATGGAAGATCTTAACGAGGAGCATAGGCAGGTAGTTGCCGGTTACCAAAGACAACTGCAAGCAGGGTGGTTGGGTGGGGGGTTAAAGTGTTGACCTTCAATCCCACGTCCAAATCCAAAAGCCCAAAACGCAGCTCATTAATAGCGGACAAAGTCTCTGATGAAATCATATTCTATAGCCACCTTCCCCCCCACCTCCCGACTAATGAGGGTTTTTCCCATTTCTAATAGAGCAAGGGTGTTTTCAGGCTTTTTTTTAATAAAAAAAACAGATAGCGAGAAAACCCCATAACGGTTCAAGTGAACATCTGAGGTTTGACATCAAATACAAACATCTATGAGGTAAAAGTGCCATCTTGTGGTTGCTTCATAAAGAGCAATTTCGAACATATTTCCCTGTCTGTTTCACCTGTGTCATTTTTTGTGCGCTTATGAAGCTGTCCTCCACGACTTGAAACCCTTAGGCAAATGCTAATGGATTCCGGCAGGGCGCACCATGGTTAATGCTGAGCTGGGTCTGGGCCTCTGTTTCATGTTTCTGTTGTGAGGGGAATTGGAGTACCTGTGTGGGCTACACCAGGCGCATGGTCCCAGTGCTCCTGTCAAGGATCTCATTGGCGCATGCTTATTGTTGCTGCGGGTGAAAGCAGACCAGCCACAGCTCTGACAGGAGTGCTGGGTCTGTAAGACTGGACATGCAACTGCCACTTTTATTTCTCCCATAACTACATTACACATCCCACTGCACTGTGGGAGAATTAAAATGGCTGCACTAGCAAGCCCAACTGCATGGGCTTTGACTGCATTCCTGCCAATCCCCATTGGGCCAATTACCAACTGCCTGGTAAGCCTGTTGTGGGGAGCAGTGAGAGTACACTCCAACCTGGAATGAGCCTAGCTTTTATTTGCTTTTATTTATAGACTACTTACCGGCAACAGTGGGTGGCATTCAGTAAAGGTTTACTCAGAGTAGCCCCACTGATATTAATCGACCTTACTTAACTATGTTCAGTGGGTCTGCTCCGATTAAAACTTAGCTGAATACCCCCAATACCTCTAAGCTGTTTACATAAAATAATATAAAATATTCACAAGGAAATACGAATAAATTCAAACATTGAAACCAATAATAAAATTATCAAAATATAGATAAAAGCAACAATTTTAGATACAAATATACATAATAAGGTAGGGATGCCATACGTCTTGGTTTCCCCAGACACACCTGGGAATCAGGCTGTCAAACCAGCAAACCAGACAGATTTTTGCTGAATTGGCAAAATGGCTGGGTTTTCCCAGCCATATGGCAAGTAGGTTGATTTTTTAAAAAACAAATCCTTAAAAGATCCAAAAAAGCCCAATAACTTATTGGGGGAGGGGGGGAGATGTTCAACAACTTTCACCAAAAATAAAAGCTCAACAACTTTGTCCGGATTTTCACTTTTGGGACTACAGTGGTACCTCAGGTTACATATGCTTCAGATTACATAGGCTTCAGGTTACAGACTCCGCTAACCCAGAAATAGTACCTTGGGTTAAGAACTTTGCTTCAGAATCAGAACAGAAATCGTGCTCTAGCGGCACGGCAGCAGCAGGAGGCCCCATTAGCTAAAGTGGTGCTTCAGGTTAAGAACAGTTTCAGGTTAAGAACGGACCTCCGGAACAAATTAAGTACTTAACATGAGGTATCACTGTACATGGCAACCTTATAATAAGGTGACATGTCTGGGTAGGCTTGCATCAAAAATAAGACAACTAAAGTGCCTGCCTAATGTTAATTAATATAACTAGAGAAGTCATGCCATGGATTTGTCTTGTCCAGTATTGTTTCCTTTGACTGGCGATAGCTCTCCAGGGCCTCAAGCCTGGTCCTGCTACTGGAGGCCCTTTAACTGGTGACACCAGGATTTGACCTAGACCCTGAAGCAGGAGAGACCTGTGGTCTGTAGCAGAGCATGTTGCCCTATCGGTAGCAGTGGGACAATATAAATAATACTACTATTAATTCTGGCCTTGGTCCATGCATACATGTTTCTCCCTAGCCTAGCTAGTCAGCTCATGACTTTGGAAGAGCCAGTCATCTGTTGAAGGAATGAGGAACCTCAAATCCATCTGCCTAGTCCATCTATTGATAGGAGAGGATGTGGACGATTCCTCCCAAACAGCTGACTAGCAGTGACAAAGCTGACTGCATCCCATCCTCTGTTGGGTACTATGCACACTATGCCAGTTCAATGCCCAGTCCCAGGATCTTCATAGTCAGCCCAATCATTCAGAAGGTCATGGAAGCTCACTTCAGAAAACAGTTTTTGGGTCTGAACACAGGAGGAAAGGAAGACAACAAGGAACTGGGCAAGGGCCATAGCTAAGTGGTAAAACATCTGCAGGAGGTACCCATTTCAACCTCCAGCATCTTCAAGTAGGGCTGAGAGACCGGCGCTTGAAAAACTGGGTAGCTGCTGCCAGTCAGTGCAGACAATACTGAGAAAGATGGACTAACTCATAAGGCAGCTCCCTATGATGTGTAGAGTCGTACATAGCAAAGTGTGCTGAAGTGAACTGGTTTATTATTCTTATTAGAGACATCACCTTGCCGACAAAGGTCCGTATAGTTAAAGCTATGGTTTTCCCAGTTGTGATGTACGGAAGTGAGAGTTGGACCATAAAGAAGGCTGATCGCCGAAGAATTGATGCTTTTGAATTATGGTGCTGGAGGAGACTCTTGAGAGTCCCATGGACTGCAAGAAGATCAAACCTATCCATTCTGAAGGAAATCAGCCCTGAGTGCTCACTGGAAGGACAGATCGTGAAGCTGAGGCTCCAATACTTTGGCCACCTCATGAAAAGAGAAGACTCCCTGGAAAAGACCCTGATGTTGGTAAAGATGGAGGGCACAAGGAGAAGGGGACGACAGAGGACGAGATGGGTGGACAGTGTTCTCAAAGCTACCAGCATGAGTTTGACCAAACTGCGGGAGGCAGTGGAAGACAGGAGTGCTCTGGCGTGCTCTGGTCCATGGGTTCATGAAGAGTCGGACACGACTAAGCGACTAAACAACAACAACAATTATTATTATTATTATTATTATTTGTAAAACTAATAAATATAACACATGCATTTTATTCAACATACTGAATTGGAGCACAGTCCTTTCTGTGGATCCTGCTTGATCTTGTCAACTTCCTCTTGTAAGACACAGACCTATTTCTCTCAGAGCAACTCAGAAAACTCCCTTGAGCCCAATAGCACCACATGCATTCATGCTGAGTAACAGCTTCTCAAAGCAAATGGCAACAAGGGAAGCCAAGTGTAAATAATGAGTAAAGCAAGAGCAACCAAGACAGAGAGCCCTGTCTCAAGATGCTACC